AGTCAAGTGTGAGGATGGATTTCCCACCAATGACATTGGTTGGTGTCAGTTGTGCTAAATCACGAATTGGTAGAAGTTAGAATTCATAGAGTGGCCATTGAATCGGGTGCTGCTATTGACTGAATGGTATACGAGCCAGCTTGCCTTGTAACCGGAAGGTCCTGGATTCGAAGCCCGTTGCAGTGGGTGCGTACTGCCGATGATTCTCAAACTAGGTACGAAACAGCTGTCCAGTACTACCTGGAGGGTTTTCAATAGTTCTCTAACTGATATCAATCCGTGATCAACTCGTAAAACCCTCTGTTTTACATAATTTTCTTCTAAAACTTACACTTCTAATGGCATATGTTTTGAAATATTCTTTCGTGTCACTAAGTTAATTTACTATATATTTTGTAACAAAAAAGGCAAAACACGGAAGCCAATTGATCAAACGGCTATTTATATACAGACAGTTTTATATTCTTTGACCAATCACTGAGCGTGTGATTTTGGCTTACATTAAACGACATGAAACAGAATGTTCAAATATACATATATAGTATTCTGTTGCTAATTCAGTGTTGAACTGTGGGAATATGTGAGAATCATGTTCCATTGGAACACATTGTCTGTATCACACCACCACACTCGTCCCCTCGTCAAAAGCTTTCGACTGAAGTAGGTTCGATCTTCTTGGTGTTGGCGGCTTTGTTTGCTTGTCTTGCTGTATCGAGTTCTTGAGCTCACTGACGTTCATACGCTTCTCTTTGTTTGCATTTCTGGTTGTATATGTCTGACGTCATCTCACGGTGATCATGTATGGTCCTTCCCACTTTGGAAGCAGTTTGCATGACCTTGGCTCGTATTCACTGGTGTTTCGCCTCACACTATCATATGCTGCCTTCGCCCGACCTCTCAGCAGCGTTTCAAGTAACAGCCTCATCGCTGACGGATCTTAAACGCCATTCAACTGTGCAACAACCTCGAAGTCCTGCCAGAAGATCCATATGTCTCCTTCTTCAAAAACTGCAGGGCATGAGCTGTTCATTTGTCGGCAGGCAGCGACACCAAAAGTAACAGCAAAAGGCAAGACACGGAAGCCAAGGTATCTTTTTCATTACTCAAACCGCTATTTATATATTATTATTATTTCCTTTAGTTCCTAGAGGAACATAGGGCTTCAGCCATGCGTCTCCATTGCGTTCGGTTCTCTGCTAGAGTTTTCACCTGGCTCCAGGTCTGCCCACATGCTTTCATCTCCTCTTCACATGATCTCCTCCAGGTCACCCTTGGACGACCAACTCGTCGCTTCCCTTTCGGGTTCCACTCGAGGGCTTGTCTAGTGATGTCACTTGCTGGTTTCCTCAGAGTGTGGCCAATCCATCTCCATTTCTTCCTGCCTATTTGTTTCACAATCGGTTCCTGGTTGGTTCGCTCCCAGAGATCTTTGTTGCTGATCCTTTCCGGCCATCTGATCTTGAGTATTGAGCGAAGACATCTGTTAATGAAGGTCTGTAGCTTGTTTGAGGTGCTCTTTGTGACACGCCAAGTCTCTGATCCGTATAGTAGTACTGACTTCACATTGGAGTTGAAAATCCCGATTTTATTTTTGACGCTGAATGATGTTGACCTCCACACAGACTTGAGAGTAATGAAAGCTTGCCTTGCTTTCCCGATCCTTGCTTTGATATCCTCGTCAGTTCCGCCTGTAGTTGAAACAATGCTTCCCAAGTAGGTAAAGGAGGTAGTTTCTTTCAGGTTCTTTCCATTTATGCTGATTGCTGTCTGTTGTTGTTGGTGTTGGCCAGGGATCTTCATCACCTCCGTTTTCTCTATGTTCACCTGGAGTCCTATCTTTGATGCTTCTTCTGCCAACTTGTTACTTTTCACTTGCATATCTTCCAGTTTGTGGGAAATCAGACATATATCATCGGCGAAGTCCAGATCCTCCAAGTTCTTTGTGTGAGTCCATTTTATGCCTGTTTCCTCATTGCCCGCTGTTTGTCGCATTATCCAATCTACCGCAATCAGGAAAATCATTGGCGATAGTAGGCAACCCTGTCTTACTCCTGTCTTCACTTCGAAGGATTCCGTGAGCTTCCCGTTGTGGATTACTTGGCATGCAGCGTTGTCATACAACTGTTGGATGAGATGTATAATTGTCGGCGGCACCCCGTAGTAGCGAAGTAGTTGCCAAATCACCTCTCGATCGACGCTGTCGAAGGCCTTTTCAAAGTCGATGAAGTTGAGATAGAGAGGTGACTGCCATTCCAAACTTTGTTCAATGATGATCCGTAGTGTGGCGATTTGATCAATACATGACTTGTTTCTCCTGAATCCAGCTTGTTCTGGTCGAAGTTTTTCATCCAGGGCTTGTTTGATCCTTTCCAGGATGATGCGGCTTAGTATTTTGCTTGGGATGGACAGGAGCATAATTCCGCGCCAGTTCTTGCATTGACTTAAGTCTCCTTTCTTTGGTAGTTTGAATAGGTATCCTTTCTTCCAATCCTCGGGTACTTTGCCTTCTTTCCACACCTTCTCCAGTAGTGGCGTCATCAAGTCTGCTGTTGTCTCTGGGTCCACTTTCAATGCTTCTGCTGGGATTCCATCTGGTCCTGCTGCTTTTCCAGCTTTCAGCATCTTGATTGCCTTCAGGACTTCTGTTCTCCTCGGGGGGTTGATGTTCACTGGTAATTCTGCTTCCGTTGTTGGTATTGTTGGGCGCGTTGTAGGTGGCGGTCGGTTTAGTAGTCTTTTGAAGTGTTCAGCCCAGTGTTTCCTTTGCTCCACTTCTTTGGTGATTGACTTTCCATTTTCATCCTTCACTGGCTTAATTTGTGACGAGTTTCTGCCTGAGAGGTACCTAGTTGTTTGGTAGAGTGTTGCGAGGTCTCCTTTGCCTGCTGCTTGTTCTGCTTCATTGGCCATGGCTTCATAATACTTTCTTTTGTCTTCTCTGGCACTCTTCTTTACTCCTTTGTTCAGTGTATTGTAGCTTGCATTCAACTCCTGTTTCTGTTGCTCGTCGGTGCACTGGAGAATCTTTTGTTTCACCATCCTTCTCTCTTCTATTAGCCTCCAAGTGTCCGTAGTGAGCCACGGTTTGTCCTGTCTCTTCTTTCTGCCCAGAACTTCCATGCAGGTTTCGCTCCATACTGTTTTCAGGTTGTCCCAGTGTTTTTCGACGCTGACCTCTTCGCTAATGTTGATTTGTGTCTCAGCTTTGTCCTTTATACTTGCAGTAAAGATATCCTTTGTATCCTGGTCCTTTAGTTTTTGAGTGTTGAACTTGGCTTGTGGTCTATCTGCAGCTCCTGATTCTCTGAAAGCTTTTAATTTGAGTTGGATTGTTCCTTGTACGAGGTAGTGGTCTGAGCCAACGTCTGCTCCTCTTCTTGCTTTTGTGTCCAGTAGGCTGCGCCGCCACTTCCTCGAGATTGTGATGAAGTCAATTTGGTTTTTGGTTCGCCCATCTGGTGACACCCATGTAGCCTTGTGAATATCCTTGTGTTTGTATACGCTGCCACCAATCACTAGTTCATTGAAGGCGCAGAAGTCGGCGAAGAGTTCTCCATTTTCATTCATCTCTCCCAGAGCTTCTTTACCCATGATGAGTTCCCTTCCTGTGTTGTCTGGTCCAAGTTTGGCGTTCATGTCTCCCATTAGTATTTTAATGTCACCAGCTGGAGTATTGTCTATTGCTGCCTGTAGTTGTCTGTAGAATTCTTCTTTCTTTTCGAGGTCTGCGTTGTTTGTGGGTGCATAGCACTGTATAATTGACACTTTTCTTCCTTTGGAGTTGAATCTGGCGCTCATTATTCTGGGTGAGATCGCCTCCCATTGTATCAGAGCCTTGGTTGCCGTTGGTGACATCATTATAGCCACGCCCTCGGTGTGTGTGTGGTTGTCTTCTGGGTGACCGGAGTAAATCACTGACTCACCTGTTGACAATTTGGTGAGTCCGTTTCCGTTCCATCTGCTTTCGCAGATCCCCAATACTTGTAGTCCGTATCTTCTCATTTCGCTTGCGATCTGGGCAGCTTTGCTAGTCTCGTACATGGTGCGGACATTCCATGTCCCCACACAGACTTTTTCTTTTGACGCAAGGAGATTGTTCACGCTGAAGTTTCTGTAGCAGGTTTGTTTACAGGGTGGGGTTCGTTGACAAGTCACTGAGCGCGTGATTTTGGTTTTCATCAAATGACAAGAAATAGAATGTTCAAATACATGTATAGAATATTCTGTTGCTAATGCTGTATTGAACTGTGGGAAATCATATTCCGTTAGAACACATTGCCTGTAACACACCACCACAATATGTGGTTGTACAGCTTAAGTATGATATGGCTGATGAAGATTAACTCTTTGTTGAACGTCTTTTCTTTTATATTGTCAAATAACAGAAGTTAAGATGTACACAGGTCATTATCTAAATGTTCTACTGGCTTGATTCTTAACTGGACATCTCTGGGTCAACTTCTCAGTGGAGTCATATATGCGTATCACTGAGGCATCGCAAACTTGGACAAGTGGTTTCTTCAGTAGTTCTCTAATTAATACCAGCACATGTATTCTAAAACTAGCGACTGGCCCAATTCAGGTAGGTACTAGTGGGAATTCGTGACCAGTGGAGTAGAGCAGTTCGTGGGAGAGGTGACACTGGCCAGTGTTCGTGCTCTTCGGTGAATTGACAGAAGTTGCATTCATGGACTGGTCATTGGACTGGGTCTCATTAGCTGAGTAATGGTTTACAAGCTCGCCTTGTAACCGGAAGGTCCTGAGTTCGAGTACTAATGAAGTACAGTCGCAAACTAGGCTGACGAAACAGCTAGCAGTCCAGTACTCCCTGGCACTTTTCCAATGGTTCTCTCCAACTGATGTCTGCTTATGTTGAAATCCTGCAACGAATCAAATTCTCCGGCAAAACAACACCTAAATATCAAAATGACGGGCTACTAAACTAACACTGATCTGATGAAAAGATCGAATATAAAAAAGCAAACGAAATTTCTACGCAAATATATATACTACTGATATTACTTGATAACATGTTACATATGGTATACACATATAAGTAAGTATACATGAAGGTAATAGATTTAGACTAAAATGGTATATAAATGCACTAGAAAAGACAACACAAGAATCAATAATAATAACAATAATAGCAATAGCAACATAGAGTGTGTATTTGAACAAAAGTTTCTTTTATATTTTCCAGTCACTTTAAACTTTTGCGCAAATCATTTGAGAATGAGAAAAAGTGGAGTAACGAGCAAAAGATACATACTATCAGCTGTGTTGCAATCTATGAATAGTGTGTGTGTGTGGGTGTGTTTATGGGGATCTTTGTATTCATGGGATCAAAAATTCGCTCCCCATGGCCATCTTCATCTATTCACAGTTATACTGTTCAACCTGACTGAAATATTCTCTCAGTAATGTATATAGTGTGTATGTATGTATGTATGTTGAGATAGATACTACTTATAATACTACTAACAACAAGATATAGTTTATGTATATATATATATTACTCTATTTAGTTATGAAGTAGTATATGTATGGAAAGGTGAATAGAAGAAAGTAAGTGAAAGGAGTTGATTTCATTGACAGTTGGGGTGCAGAATTACAATTATCACTACCACAAATACAAATTTCAGAGAAACCGCCCTCTGAATGACGATTAACACATTTGACTTCTTCGGGTTCAGCACCTTCTGTAGCACAGAAACGTCGCATCAATGTTATTTCTGATGTAACGGAAGTGTATTCATTGAACAGTTATTGTTGTTGTTAATACATCCAAGTAGGTATTGTTGAAAGGGGTGGGAGGGAGATTAATAGAGAAAAAGCAATTTCTTAAGATTAGTATATATACATATACATTATCGAGAAAGTTAAAATATATGATGTTCATTATTATAAAAAAGGTTTTCGTAATTATCTAAACTTTGATCACGAATCAATATTAGTTAGAGTACCATTGAAGATTATCAGGGAGTGTTGGACGACTGTTTTGTCCTACTTTGGGATCCCACGTCGGCAGTACGCGTCAACTGGGATTTGATCCCAGGACGCGATTCACTGGTCCATTAGTTTCAGTGTGAGGAAAGATACTCACCGACGACACTGACTGGCGGTTGCAAATTGTCAGAAGTTTGAATTCATACGGAGCCAAATCATGTCCCAGTAGCTGTGTGGAAAGTCCTGGGTTCGAACTCCGCGGGTCGCATATTGCCTATGAGTTTCTTCAAGATTACTCGCACGACTTGCTGACAAGTGATAGCCAAAAAGCACGAAACCTAGGTCCAACGGTTTCTGCCGAATGTCTCCAATCATCTATTGACACCAATTCAAAGTGCACCGTGATGGCGAGCCACCTAGTGGCATGCTGATCACATTGCAAACTTGACTGATAGAATTCAGTCTACACTCAGCAGAGGACTTGATTCACATGACATCAGTGTCTAATCAAGACGGTTATGATGTCAGAGAAAGCAAATGATACAGCTTTGTGGAGATACGTGGGAGACGTGAAAGGATCACAACAAAACACAATATGAAGGAAGGGCAGAAGTAGCACAACATGGACGATCTGTGCAAATGGTGCGTTGAAGATACAAAATTGCCATGTCTTTCGTCTTCTGCTGTTACACACTTTGAAGTTTCGGTAGCATTGGTGTTGAATTTTTATAAGGTGGGGTCACTAGCCTCAGTCGGGGATAGAACCTTGGACCACATGCATGGCTGAGGAGCATTCTATCGCTAAACCACTGACTGACTTATTTTCTTTCGTTTGTCGGATATTCAATTTAGAGTAGTACTGTGGAATACTAGTACTTACAGATCCAATACAACTGAAATCTGTCCTTATTATAGCTTCGATGTTACGTAAAATATTTATATTGATAATGAAAATAGTGCTTTGGTTATCATAGATACATAACTGTAGAACCTAATGATAGATTTATAGAAAAAATTATCCTTCGCTCAGTAAACAGCTTCGACGTGAAAAACCTAGAAGACCTGGATTTCGCGGATGATTTATGTTTGATGTCACACAAAATCGAAGACTTACAAGCGAAAACCGACAAACTGGTCGAAGAAGCAGCCAGAGAAGACAGGACTCCAGGTGAACATAGACAAGACGGAGGTTATGAAAATTGCCAACCAACAACAACAACAGCAGTAACATACAGCGCCAATCACCATCAACGGGAGAGATGTGAAAGAGGTTACTTCATTCACTTATCCAGGGAGCATTGTCTTAACTACAGGAGGAACAGACGAGGATGTCAAATCGAGAATCGGGAAGGCGAGAAACACATTCATCAACCTGAAACCAATCTGGAAATCTTCGTCACTCAACTCAGCATCAACAACAAAATGATTCGGATTTTCAATACAAACGTCAAGTCAGTCAGTTCTTCTATACGGATCAGAAACTTGGCGGGTCACAAAGAATATTTCCAACAGCCTGTTACAGAACTTTATCAACAAGTGTCTTCGTTCTATGCTCAAGATCACATGGCCGGAAAGAACAAGAACCAACAAGAAATTATGGGAACAAACAAAACAAGAACCAATCGGTCAACAAATATGCAGGAGAAAGTGGAGATGGATTGGACACTCGCTGAGGAGGCCGTTGGGTGACATCACGCGTCAGGCCATTGCTCGAGTGGAACCCGAAAGGGAAGCGGCGAGTGGGACGTCCAAGGGTGACATGGAGGAGATCGTGTGAAGAGGAGTTGAAACAGTATGGACTAACATGGATGCAGGGAAAAAGTACAGCAGAAGCAAGTGGAGACGTGTAGTTGAAGCCCTATGTTCCACTAGGAATCCAAGGGAACAATAATAATAATATAATCAGTAAACAGTCCATAAATTCAAAAAAATTAAACACAGTCTTCTCTGCCTTTGGAGATGAAAATAACACCAGCTGATGAAAGCCTTCAGGGAAACCATTAATGCAATGATCCTGCTTTCGATGAAAACAAAAATAATCATCAGGATATGGAATGTTGGCAAAAAATGTTTGAAACTGGAAAGGTTGCTTAGTTTGTTCAGTCAGATGAAAAATTATGGTACAGAAGTGCGAAGAGAATAGAAGTGGACCCTAGAAGTTGTTAAAACTGGAGAGTTAATAATCTACTCCAGTCATTCCTACAACAACCAAGGGGTACATTGAGCTAATAGAAATCGGACTGGATTGCCGGCTGCCTGAAAAAACATTTCAGGCATTCATCAACAAATCAGGTCTTTGATCGATTATCGAGGATCAGATAGACTATTGCAAAGGATTAGCATCAAGGAAATCTGGAGGCGAACCAAAGATCAACCGACTAACCAACAAATATGCCAGAGAAAATGGAGAAGGACAGGACATATGCTGAAGATACCGTTCAGTGACATTTACCGCTACGCAATTCAAATGCAAAACGACTACATACACACGTGAATTACAAAAACACATAGAAGAGATCGTGCAGGGAGAAGATGAAAGCATATAGGCATTCGAAAAGCTAGCGTAAGATGACTACAGTGAAACGGATGAAAGGCAGATGTACTGTTGAAGACCAATGTTCCACTCGGAAACCAACGGAATCATGATCATCAATTTCCAGAAAATTAAAACAACAAAACGACACTGCTTCAAATTCATCGATGATTTACTTCCTACGATGCTGCTACTGGCATTATCGTTGTATTGCCAAAAACGAATTCACAAAATCTCAGCTAACAAACAGTAACTTAAACATAGTTATCAAGAATTAGAAAGTTTTCTTCTCCCTGTCAAAATGCTAAATTGGTACAGACACAAAATCACATAATAGCAGTGTTCGATTTGAAAAACATGAAATTATGAAAAACAGAAAATGTTTACGCACACTGGCGAGTGCGGAGGTGTTGGAACTAGGTCAAATTCTTCATCGATTCGTCATTCATATTCACAAAATTCTCACTCCATCTCATGTGAAACGCTCCCTGTGATATTTTTATCAATGATTTCAATAATATACAAAATAAATCACGTGACCTGATTCTACAGCGTCTAGATAACCTACAGACGACGAATTTTCAAACTCCTCTGGTTCTGTTGTATTTCTGTGTGAATGAATAGAAGCTCCTATGGTGTACACCTTTTTCAACCTTCATTTCTATCGACATTTGTTCGACAGAAATAATTACATCACACCACATTCTTAGAATTTCACCTCACACTCACAGTTAGACTGTGTTCCTCTAATTCACGTGTGTACGTAGTCGTTTTTTATTTGAATTCCGTAGGGATAATTGCGTAGCGGGAATATCTTTTAACGGTCTATTCACCCTTCATCCATTCAATATCCTTCTTTTCTGGCATATTTTTGGGCTGCGTGGCCATTTATATTCACTATAAAGTGTTAATTGGCACGTGTCGTTAAGAGTCTGAGGTTTTTTTGGACAATGAGTAATCTATCCTTGTGTGTTATAGCTGAATATGCTCCTGGTTTCCGTCTGGTTGACCGGAGTAGACTACTGACTCTTTAGTTAACTACATGGACTGTGCACTTTCATTCTACAGGTTTCTAACCTTTCCATATAGTATCCTTCCATGGCTTTCGCGATGGAAGTAACCCTACTCATTTTGAACGTATTGAGAACATTCCACGTCCCTATACGTATATTATTTTTCATCGAAGATAGACACATCGGTTGACAAGCTTCTAGAAGGCTTCCACCAGCTCGCGTCATTCATTCTCCCCATATCGGGCGAAGAATGGGTTTAACTCTTATACTTCTTGCGTGATCTGAAATTTCTTTAGCGACTGATTTGATTTTCCATAGTGGGGTGGCTGTTCCCTCACCCAATCTTTCCACTTTTTCTACTCTTAGGACCGTCTAGGAAACGAGACGATGTTGACTGAATATTCGTGACCTAATTGTTCAACCTGTGTGTTGATATATGTGCTCTTGTTGTGGATCCTTCGATGAAATTTGTAGATGAATATAGAATCCAGGATGCTTCAGCTTTTGATACTAATGATTTTCTGCGTTCGAGTATCATTTGGAACACCATCAATCACTAGGAACTGCGGGTCCGTCCACCTAAAAGTTCAGTCTCAAATAACAAATAAATGGATGTGTCTTAGATTCTGCTATTAGTTATCACGCAGCTTCATGAACACAAATTTTTGTTGAGAGTCATTATCAATTTGACTCTGTTCAAATTCGCTGTTAAAATGGTTATACTACTTATAAGTAGACACATTCTTTTTGTCTAAATTCTTCAGACATCCTGGAAATAGGCCCAACGGAAAAACATCACTCCTGCTGCTGTGGAGCAAGACATACATTTATGAAATTAAGCAGAGTGAGATTTGGATGCTGCTGGTTTGTGTACAATGTTAACTGTTGAAAAGAATTAGGACAGTATAGCATTAATTTACTGAAAGTCGAGTAGGCAGCAGGACCAAATAGAATTTCTTAAGATATCACCCAAAAATGGATCCAGAGATCTTAGTGGATATCCTCACGCCAATATTAGAAGGAGTTTGGAAAGAAGGAGAGTTACTTGAAACCGATTAGAAGAAAGACTGCCTTGCAAAATTGCCAAAGAAGGTTGATTTGAGCCTTTGTAAAAGGTGAGGGGGCGGGTGGAGTCATGCTACTGTCCACTCTGATCAAAGTTTTAAGTTACATGATCCTGGAGGGAATAGAAGAAACTCTGGGTACAGAACTCTCCCCAGGACTGCTGGATTCAGGAAAGATAAACTGTTTGCTGACTGAATAGCAGCAATATGCATGATCACCGGATAGAGCGTAGAATGACAGCCAAATCTGTACACTGACTTCACGGAGTGTTGACGGCGAAGTGGTCTAGAAACTATTTCTACCTAACAGAGTGGTCCAAACCTTTATCAACCTAACTCATCAGATATATGACGATTCCACAAGTCAAGTGACCCCCTAAATAAAACTCTTCGAAGCCTTTGAAGTGAATACAGCAATAATAATACAAGGCTGCCTACTATCACTGGTAATACTGCTGATTGTGGCGGACTGCATCATGTGGTAGACCATCGGGAGTGTAGAGCCAGAAATACTTCAGACCGATATGAATACCCCGGAAGATTTGGACTTCACTGACGGTTTATATGTTACACAAACCTGAAGATCTACAGGGGAGAAAATCAGCGAGGTGGTAGAACAAGATGGAAGCGAAAATAGGATGTCAACTATATATATATATATATATATATATATATATATATATATATATATATATATATATATATATATATATATTGGGAAGAGAGAGATGATGAAGATACGTAACCAATAACAACAGGGTCCAGTCACTGTCAACCAGAGAAATTTGAAGAAGCTTACCAAAGATATTTATCCAGTCAGCGATTGTTTCAAGTGCAAGCAGCACAAATGAAAATGTCAAAGACAAATAGGATCAGAAAGTTTAGACATTCCCTCAGAAATCTCAAATCGCCCTCGAAATCTGCTGCTCTCAAAATAAGGAGTAAGAATCGAACTTTCAGCGCTGAAGTCAATTCAGCGATTCTACGTGGTTCATAAATTTGACGTGTCACCAAAAGCATGTCAACAGCTGCCTTCACTGGCTCCGTGCTAAAGATCAGATGACTATTGAGAAAGGAAAGTAACGGAGAACTCAGATAGCGAACCAACAGGGAACCAACAGGAATATGTTATCCAACAAATATGTTGAAGAAAATGCAGAAAGGTAGGATATAAGCTGAGGAGGCTGCTGAGTCAGGTAACATACCAAGTAGACTCTCAAGTGGAACCAGAATAGGAATGACAAAACGGACTTGGGTCGGAGAGTGGCATAAAGGAGATCGTGTGAAGAGGAGAGAAAAGTCTATAGGCAACCACGAAGGCGGATAAAGACGACTGTAAAGGTCAGGGTGAAGAGGAGATAACTTCATTATGGATAACATTTTATTTTGATAAATCACACAGTGTTACACAGTGCGTCGTTGGCACAGCGGTTAGGACTCTCACCGACCATGCACATGGTCCGAGGTTCGATCCCCTGCCGATGCACACCTTATATCTACGGTGGGCCTGCAAAATTTGGGGTACCGATATCACAAGCTGAAAATTCCATACTTGTGCCAAATTACTGTGTGGAATCAAGCTGTTATCAAAAACAAAGAAAAAATATCAAATAATGACCACATTTCAAGCACAAATTATTGTCACTCATAATCATATCAACTCACTCACACAACATTCTTACTTCATTTATATACATGAGTGGAATTGATTAGACATTTGAATAAAATTCAATATAAGTTAAAGTACATTCAGAAATAATAATATTAGTGTTATCAATCAAATGCGATTAGATTGGAAATAGGGCGAGTGATTTTATAGTCAAAATAAGCAACTTGTTAGAATGTTGTGATGTACGTGAATTAAAATGGAGTTTTAAGATTATTTATTACCCTCCTCTGATTTGACTGACTGGAGGTAATAATATCTTCCATATTTCTGGTATTTGCATGGAGTCATTTCTGTTGCATGTGTTGAGTATAGATTCACTGGATGAACCAGGATTCAGAAATCAATCACTGTTTCTCTCCACTTAAGCATATTACTCTTTCTAATTTTGACTGTGTCCCACCCCACTGTGTGGTCGTGTGTTAATGCATGCAGTGCAATGTAGTGTTGAGTTTTTTCTAAATTACTTATCTTCTCGGGATCAACCATTCTTACCTTAGCTAAATTCTTATATTCTGACAATCTGACTACCCCTGACCTATGTAGTTGACCTCAGTCACACAGTCATTGGAAGGTATTTTGTAAATTATATTATTTTGTTTGATTGGGTCCGCCGGGTCTTTCAGCCTACAGAGGTTGTCCTGACTGAGTGAATTTATAGGTTTGAATGCCACCCTAATTCGTGCAAAAAGCTCAGCGATTGCAATGTATGCATTAACACACAACCACACAATATGGTGGGAGGGGATTAACATTCTAAGAACTAATATAGGTAGGGGGAGAGAGAGAGATTGATTACTGAATCCTGCCTGGTTCATTGAGCCTGCACCCAACACATGCAACATAAATGACTCAATGCAAATACCAGAGATATGCATGGAAGACATTATTACCACCAGTCAGTCAAATCAGAGGAGGATAATAAATAATGTTAAAATTCTATTTCAGTTCAATTCACGTACATCATAACATTCTGACAAGTTACTTATTTATTTTACTATAAAAACACTCGTCATATTTCCCATCTAACTGTATTTGATCAATAATACTCATGTTATTATTTCTGAATGCATTTTATATTATATTGTATTTTATTCAAATGTCTAATCATCAATTTTTACTCGTGTATATAAATGAAGTAAGAATGTTGTGTGAGTGACTTGATATGATTATGAGCAGCAATAGTTTGTGCTCGAAACCTCATCAGTTAATATTACTGTGTGATTTATCGAAATGAAATCTCATCCATAATGGAGTTATACTCTACCACAGTGCTCAAGTTTTTTACTTATATCAAGGAAGAGGAGATACGTTATTCAAACCGTGTATCTTTTACTCGGAACCTAGGCGAATACTAATAATAATAATTCTATAATAAAAATGGAATGCACTTATTTCTAAATTTAGACTACCTGTTAGAGTTGTGTCCTATGTTCCTCTCGGAATTAAAGGATGCCATAATAATAATAATAATTAGAGTTTTAATTGAATAATTAAACTATTTCTTTTGATAAATAATTCAATTGAATGAAATATGCGGTTTCACTTACCTCTTGTACGACCTTTCGAAACTGGTTCTTTTACGTAAGTAGTAAGTTTTCCACATCCACGTGGTTTATTCTTATCATTCATTGGACTAGAATGACATATAAGGAACACAAAAACAAATGAGTACAGAAGATGTGAAAGTTTCTGCGTGAAATAGAATTACAGTGGAAAAGAAGTCTTAATAATATATATGTGTAAAACTTGGGCACTGTGGTAGTATGTAATTACATATTAATTTGTTTATTAGATATATCACACACAGTGAGTGAAACAGTATTAATTACTGGATGACACAGTTTCGAATACAATTCATTGCTGCTCATAATCATATCATCAATTATAACATCACAACTTCGAAACTTGAATTTTATAGTTTTCTTTATTCCTCCCTATTTGTCATCGCAGGGGTAGTAGAATTTTCCAGATATCCAGGTGGATAGGTGTTAAGTAATTTCTATTCAGGTGACTCCATAAATAATGCCTCAGTCAGTTATCAGTCTCCCACTCAATCCCATTATATTAGATTTTAAGACGGTCATCTTATCCCATCCTATGGTATGGTTGCGTGTAATTCCATGTGGTGTAGTGCTACAGATGAACTATTCTCTAGATTCTTTATCTCATTCGTGTCAACTAATCTAGATTTTGCTAGGTTTTTATGTTCAGCTAGTCTGACTGCCCCCATTATACTACTTTGACCTATGTATTCGACCTGACAATCATTGTGAGTAGGGTATTAGATAAGCTAAATTGTTTTGTTTTAAAGGATCCAGAGGATTGATCCTTTATCCGACAAAACATGTTTCTAATTGAGTTTGTGTGTTCGAATGCCAACCGTTATAATTCCTCCACTGTTAAGAAATCTCCCTAAGGTTTCCGAGGTTCCTTTTTTGTAAGGGAGTACTACTGATGACTTAGATTCCTCATTGTTGGTGTTGCCATTATCTGGAAAATTATACTACCCATACGAAGACAAATAGGAGAAAACAGAGAAAACTATAAGACTTAAGTTTCAAAGTTGTGTGGTTATAACTGATATGATTAGGAACAATAAATTTTGTTAGAAACTCTGTCATCCAGTAAATAATACTGTTTTACTAACTGTGACATATCTAATAAACAGAACTAATGTGGATCTTCTGTTTTAAAGTTTCCTTTATTCTTCCCCATTCGTCGTTGTAGTAGTGTGGTGAGAGCTGTCTACTAGCCAAGTGGTGGACAGTAATTGAGGTCAATGTTTATGTATCAAATATTAGTCATGTTGTGGTGAGAGATGGTTGCTGGCCAAATTGGTTGGCAGTAATTGAGGTCAAAGGTCAAGGTGGACAGGCGGTTACAGTTAACATATAGATGAACTGACACAGCCACAAGAGATGCAAGGTTAACTTTGTGTGAGAAACAACCAATCAACAGACTGTATTTTCTACTAACATTGACCTACAATAATGTACATAAAAATCTATAAATACGTGTTGATTTTTCGTAATAAACGATCTGTTGCCTGGCCCTTGTCTTCTGTTGTTACATTTGGTGTCGCTGCCTACCGACAAATGGAAAGCCTATGCCCTGCAGTTTTTGATGGAGACATATGGATCTTCGCGCAGGACTTCGAGGCTTCTTCGCAGTTGAGTGGCGTTCAAGATCTGTCAGCGATGAGGCTGCTACTTGGGACGCTGCTGGGAGGTCGGGAGAAAGCAGCATATGGACGTGTGAGGCGAAATACCTACGAATGTGCGACAGGGTCAGGCAAACAGTTTCCAAAGTGGGAAGGACCATATATGGTCACGTTGAGATGGGGTTACGCAGACACAACCGCAATGGTAAACACCGTTAAACAAGTGGACATCCACAAGCGCCGAGATTCCAGACAGCAAGACAACAGAGCAAAGCCCCAAGAACCGAGAAGACCGAGCCGACTTCAGTCCAAACTATTTGACGGGGGGACGAGTGTGGTGAGAGCTGTCTACTAGCCAAGTGGTGGACAGTAATTGAGGTCAATGTTTATGTATCAAATATTAGTCATGTTGTGGTGAGAGATGGTTGCTGGCCAAATTGGTTGGCAGTAATTGAGGTCAAAGGTCAAGGTGGACAGGCGGTTACAGTTAACATATAGATGAACTGACACAGCCACAAGAGATGCAAGGTTAACTTTGTGTGAGAAACAACCAATCAACAGACTGTATTTTCTACTAACATTGACCTACAATAATGTACATAAAAATCTATAAATACGTGTTGATTTTTCGTAATAAACGATCTGTTGCCTGGCCCTTGTCTTCTGTTGTTACAGTAGTAGTAGAATTTTCGTATGTTCAGCTGGATAGGTGTTGAAAATGTTTTATTCCTGCATGTATTTTCAGTTGATTCCACCTCAAAAGTCTAGTGAAGGTATGCAGATGGTACATTCACCTTATTCAAAACACAGGAGATAAATAGATTTTTTGAATACACCTACTGGAGAAAGTGCAGGCAATTCAATTCACTTATGAAGTGGAAAGTCAGGAAGGGGTATTTCCAATGTTAGATTGTAGCGTAAAAAGGAATGAAGATGGGAAGTTAAACACACTAGTGTTTACAGAAAACCCAACCACACATTCAAACAGATATTTGGATTTTTGATTATCCCATCCTATGTCAGTAAAGATAGGATAGGCAAAATGCCTAAGTAATAGGGCACAAAAACTAATTAGTACAAAGTAATATCTCAGACAGGAAGTGAGACATATAAGAGAACCTTTGAAACTTGATAATTATCCTGATAAATTAATGGGGAAGTATATAGGGAAATGTAAAAATAAAATAAATAATATTAGTAGTGATAGTGGCGATAATTGTACCAT